AGGATTTGAGGTTTCCACGGCGTCGAGTGCGAAGTTGGATGTCTTCTGGGTTGCTGCGCCGTGCAGTCTGGTAGAGGCTTACCGACGTTTCAGAGGTCCTTACTGCCTCCGTCATCAGGGCGATGAGTACTCATGAAGACAGTCATCTTCAAACTCATAACTGCCGAATACGAGGGTCCCGTCCATTGAATGCGACTTCTCAATTAAATCCATCCGAGCAGCCTCGGCTATTATGCCCAAGGTTTCATTACCACGTTGGTAGATATGAGGTCTGAAGACGAGAGCATGACTTCAGTGGAATTTACAGGCTCTTGGAAAGGGTTTTACTATAAACTCAAAATTGTAAATTGTAGCGGTCACTGACGTCATGCTGAAGTTCCTTCTATTGTAAGGCAGGATACAAGTTCATTGTTGTCTGCAATTTATAAACAACAACTGAACAGGAATAGAACAAATAGTTAAGCGTATGAAGTGGGCGCATTTTGGCGATGTCGTATCTACAAGTCCGTTAAAACGTCTCATCTCCTGTAAGAGGCCTACTTAGACAACGTTAACGAAATCTGGCATGGGGTTCTGCTCAAAACGTTTTCGGGAAAAACTGATTTTACTCCATACCGACTCTAATCGTTTTAATTTTACATAGTATGTCCATAGTAAAAAACAATTATTCCATTAAATATAGAATATACATCAAGACAGACTAAACCATTTCTGTTTAGTATATTTTAATTTGGATACTGCGTGACTAAGAACTTAATGGGTTCTAACTACCATCTCGTATTACTAAGGTACACAACTCTTATTGTGAAAATTTTTGTAAAACAGCCACTTGGAAGACCAAGAATGCGATAGGAGAGCAGAATTAAAACACATCTCAGAGAAACATGTGCAAATGTGATTCAAGATCTTTATTAAACAACGGTAATAATAACGGTACTAATAAAACTACGCAATGAATTTTAGGGTTCCGAAGAATCAGGCCTTTTTGTTTCCAACACTAGGAACAGGAATCATGTACCAGTGTAAATTTCACACTCGTGATTGGACCTACATGATAAATTAGTTATCAGATCGGATGTCGTGTTGTTATTTACCAATTCTTGAAAAGTTACTAACTCCGTGTCCAACATGACTCGAGTCTTGCGGGACTCAAACTGAAGCCCTCTGATACATCACCGTTTCACGGTGACAGCTCAGTATCATCTGCATATTATGAACTGTCGCAGAGCGATACGCATTTCGTGCTCATAACATTTCCTCTCTGGGATATTACGTAACTCAGATTAGCAAGGCTGTAGGCTATTTAAACCGGTCCCACATTTGCGCATTCTGCCGTAACGTAGAAGCGTAACGCAACAAGGGATTCCACTCCCGTTAGGGGGACAATTGCGGACGAGACAGCGCGCATTCTAGCTAACGGGCTGGCTGCGCGCTTGTGGTCCACCAGCTGTCGTGTGGACGCAGCGCGCCGTGAACAGTCAGGCTAAAACTGATCTGTAGATACCGAAGAAAACCTTGATTAACCACAGTCAGGAAACAAATGAGTTGTGAAACTGAAGTTGGCCTGTTGTTTCACAGTCATGACAAAAGTGAAACTGAAGAAAACTTTTAAAAACCTCAGTCAGGAAAACAGTTTCTCAGTTACAGTATCCGGACCAAATTCTGCGTTTCGCTTACGTCACTACCTTGAGAGTAGAAGGAAAAATAACGCATCTATGTAAACGACACAGGACGTAAGACGACGAGATACAAAATACTACCCCTGGAAAATAATGTTTACAGTACAGATGGCAATTGTTTCTTTATCTACTAAACTTCCCACCGCTATGATCTCCTTCCCTATTACAACAAACTGACGTAGAACGCACAGATTCGCCCCAACTACTGACTGTACTTCCTGCACGCCAGCCAGGGTCGTTTCCACTACAAGAAGTGTCCTTATGTTAACACTTTCTGGCCTATGAATCTCTTGAACTGAGGTGAACTCACTTATCTAGATCTCCGGTAAACAGTTAACACAAGCGCCAAAGTGCGAGTGTTTGAAACTAAAGCTAAAGTACACAAATGATCGGACTGTCTGATACTTTCGTATGCTGTAACATGAGCCGAGCATAAAGTACCCAGCTTTGTTTTCCACACGACAATAGACCCGGTGAAGAAACGAGGGACAACAAGCGCGGTTCACAATAGCATTCCTATTACGAACCAAAAAGAGAACCTGTTTCTCCTTCATGCTATAAAACTACCTCGTCTCTCAACCACAAATTCAGTGTTCAAAAGTTTGGCCTCGGTAGTTGGCACTACTGTTCCATATCTAGGGAATATCAGTTACTATTCACTGCCCGCAGGCCGTCTATCATGACCGCGTTTCTTTGTGGACATTCTCCTGCTTCCAAGAGAACACCGGGTTATTACCTTTAACCAGGTCACAACTGCATTATACCATATCCTCACCAATTAATCAAAGTCATCCTCTAATTTGACATTACGTATAAAACGCAAATGGAAAATCTTTGCTAAATAAACTAGAGTTAATTTAATTTCAGTTTCATCCTGATATAAAAACTGGCACACTGCAACAAATGTATCCTTCCGCCCAGGCCGATACCCGATTCCCGAACGCATGGACAGCGGTAACATACACGTGTTTGGCGACTACGGCCCGTTCATAATTTGTGAAAACATATTGTTTTACCGCGTTTTAGAAACTTTCCCGTGACGAGGTTGAAAGATGGCTACGACGAGAATATTTTGGAGTAACTGAAAAGACAATTTAAAGAAGCCTCAAATCCTTATCTTTACAAAAATAGATTTACTGCTGAATATCATGGCTTGAAGCAAGCGTCATCGAGAGAATTCCACTGCCACCGTTAATGGATCCCAATTGTTCTAGTGACTTCAACAGCACACCAAGTCCAGGACTTGGGATACTTGTGAAATCACCACCAACCGTCTCGTTGTGCTACTCCTATGGAACATCTAGTATTTTTTAAAAAAATATATGAAACATCAATAAAAATGTAAGAAACATTACTTGAATTAAAAACACATCGTATTATCAAAACAGAAACTTTCTTCAATAAACACCCAGTTGAGATATGAGGTTTTCACAGCGCTGAAGATTATAATGTTCTTCTGGATTTTGCTTCAAACCTGAATATTGAAGCAGTATGTTCCACAGAAATGTTGGCATCTACCGAAGAGACTACACGGTCAAAACACAAAAGATTACCAAACACTTAATTGTCCACAATCCTTGTACGCCCCTGAACAGCAGAATAAACTTTCAGAATCAAGATACTAAAAAGAATGTGGTGAATGCCTCTAACATATGCGGATTAATTTGGCTTATAGCATAAACATCCCTTTAAATAATCAGTGTCTTTTTTGTTTCTCGTGAAAAATTTTCATACATGGACTTGAGACGTGCTTGAGATCACTGTTTCATATTTACAAACTACAGACTGTAAAACAAATGGCCGGACAGGGCATTTTTCTGAACTTGCCGCTGGCTGTTGTGAAAGAAACTTCGACTAGAGTTCCATTTTTATGGGCTGTGTTATAAAGGTGAAGAGGGGGGGCATAATAAACTCTAATCAACAAGTTGAATCCATCCATTCCCTTTGTGTCCCGAGATTCACTCCTGCCACTCATATCAAATTCTTTTTATTATGTTGGCAATTCACCAATAAGATCAGAGCAGCTCAGCAGAATCGAGATATAAGGCAGGACAAAAGACGATTTCATGGCGCATCAAATCCAATTATTTGCTATAATGTCTGACAACCAGGGAATACCCAAAATGCTCTTGTGGTCATATGTCCCTACACAGTACAATTCAATATAGCAAAAACACATGTACTTTGTTGATATACTAAACAAATAAATTACATAAAAATTTTCTTGGATATTTTCCATCGTTTAAGAAATAAAATAGAAACAATGACGTTTCGGAGATGGGGCTCCATCTCCGCCTTCAGGTACGTGCCCAGTTGGGCCCAATAGATAGAACTAATCCCTATCTCCGGTAGGTCGTTGTTTCTATTTAAATTTAAATTAATTACAAATCAACATGATAAATATCTGATGTGCCATCAGCTTCACACAGTCCTTGCAGCAAATGCCTAATTGCTGTTTGCGCAAACACGCACACAGAATTATTGTTAAGTATAATTTTCCATTCAAGTTCTTATGCTAAATTCTTTCAATCTGGGTCCTAACATTTACAGAACGCGCAAGAAAATTACGTAAACAATTTCGTATATTTAAAAACAGAGATAAAGAGAAATAAACAACACACAAAAGAAAGACTTATCAAAATATCATAGGAATATTCTATGCGTGCGAGATAGGAAGACCTAGATTAACTCACCAAACTTTTTGGTTGGGTGTCTTTAGTCGCCCATTTTTACGAATAATCGCATTTTTTCGCTCTAGCGTAAATGTGTACCCGTCCATGTCTGCCTGCCGCGTTATTTTCAACATTGAGACCACAGAACCCATTCTTAAACCCACTGCTACGCGAAAGTATGATCTACGGTTTCCATAGTTTGAACACACTGTCGCGCAACAACGGCCTTGGTTCACATTGGTGCAAGAATGACCTAAGGGTCTACGATGCTCTCGGGTCTCATTAACGCGACAACGACCTACGTAATCAGGAGTGAATAACCTTTGAAATATCATAGTATTCCAAAGAGTACACCTTTCCAATTTCATTATTATTGCCATAATCATCATCATCATCATCAGTAATATTATCAGCAGCAGTAGAAGTAGCATAATAATAATAAAGGAAATATGAAACATGTTATTTTACTAATACTGACCAAAATTAAGTTTGAATCGCGCTAAATGTCTTCCAGCAGAATAAAAGTAACTACACAGGAGCTATATGTGGGAAAACAAACGGAAAATGCAATTTCGTATGAGTGACACTAATGGAAATAATATGCCACAAGCCCTGCAGCTCAGTGGACAAAGAGGAGGGTTGCTCTTACCTTGGGCGAAGATTCCGCACACGAGTATCACCACAAATGCTGCCACTGCAACAAAAAAATAATGCAGCTATCAAAAGCAAATTCTTTGTGTTTGGCTGAATTAAACTGTATGCAACAAGTAGCATGGAACCGTTTCTTCAACTGTTCTGGCTGTTTTTCCTGTAAGGACCACACAATAAAGAAGTACAGAAGCTGAGGAAAACCTCCGACGCTGAAACAAGATACAGAACGTCCAACATAACACAAAACAAATGATACCAACAGAAACTTCACAACTTTAAAGAAGAGACAAAACCATTAATGCCGTTTGTGAAACATGGCAGAGTTCAAATGCGAAGATTAACCTATATCAAGTATATAGCTGGGTTACTGACAGAATCGTTGAGTAAATCACAAATAAAGTCTCACATTTAGCCTCAGTATCGGGTGAGGTAGTGTGAGTGATCGGCCTCTTTCACCCCCGAGGCGAGTCATTTATGGGAAACTGGGCAGGTCCTAGCATGGACCTGGACGTTTAGGCGAGGAAAAAATTGCTGTTCCACGGGGAACCGATCGTGCAGGCCTCAGATATTCACTTTTGCGTAACCCGTCTCAATTAAAATGTAGAAAGTAATCGGATTTATACTTTAAACATTCTATAATCAGCGTATGCGATATTTCATCTAATAAAGATTTTGATATTCGTACACATAGACTTTTATGTAGGCTATATTATAAATGAGCAGTGCACAGCTTAATTTTCGTTCGTATTATTTATTTCTCTGTCTTTCGGTATGTTTTTATTCCATTAGATAGCTGAAATCTTCTGGTAGACTGGTGGGCTTAAATCTATCTCATTTTGACAGGGATGTTCTTTTTCGTATAAACTATAAGAAGCACAATACGCCTGCTGTAAAACAATATTAAAATAAAAACAGACATTTAAGCAAGAGATGAAGATTTCTGTCTTCTGTGTTGTTGCGCCGTTTCAGAGGTCATACTGCCTCCATCATCAGGGCGATTAAACGCCTTGGTGACGGAGGTAGAAATCTTCATACTCATCGCTGTGAAAACCTCAGATGTTAAAATACCAGAGATAATTTTCGAGAACTACATTTCCCCCATCTTTGACAGTTCTTTGGTTTTATTTAACTTTCTCGGACGATTTAAATTCAACACGCTGAGTTACGGGCTGCAAATTTCCAAACACCGAAATGACATGCCACACTTAACACAACGCCCTCTATAGAATTAAATTATGCTGTAGTTTCTCATTCATCAAGATCCATATTTCAACGCTACGTTTACCACGTAGCCCGGAGCCAGCCACCTGCAAGTATCGACTGAGCTCTGGAATACGCAAATGCGTTATTCGTGCTACAAGAGGCAGGAACTTGAAATCTCTCCTCTGACAGGGTGAAGGTTTATAACGACTTCTCACACTAACTAACTTTCCAAGATGGAGCACATTCATTCCAGGCCCGTTATAAATATCCCACTGCCATTCTCTCGCCGTAAGGAAGTTTGAGATCAATGTAAATTACAATGAAATGTCGCAAGTTTTGGCTGATGCTAAGATTAAGCTAATTATTCTATACGCCGCAATCTAAATTAAAGACGAACGCGACAGTCACAATCTAAGTCATTTGTTTTCCAGGTATTTCCAGTTTTTTACTGACTTTATTTATATCCAGGCTTGCAAATCTTTCATAGATATATAACTGTTCCAAAGTAAAATTTAGCGTAATTTTAAATCCGACATATGGTTCACAGAATCATATAGTGGGATAATAAATTGGCAAATAGTTTCGAATAGACAACAACTGGTCTAGGCAACAACCCAGAAGATAGCCAGCCTCAGACTCACTCCCGTGAAAGCCTCAAATCCTACGATATTTACGTTCTTACGTTAACACGCGTAGTTTTAAAATTGAAAACTACTAAATATCAGTAAAGGAAGGAACACAAGGTTTAACTTTCTGATCTCCCACTAAGACCTGACGTCGTTTTCGATTGGTAGACCTGAATTACAAAGTGAGCACTTTATATGCAAGTTACGAAGTTCTTAATTGGAATTCCTTCATAACCTTACTTAAGTTTGATTATTTGTTATTATGCTTTCTGCACCACTGGGCGAAGAGGTCATGTGTGTAAACTAATGTTAGTGAATGTGACATAACGTAATTGTTGCTAATAATTTTTTTCTTCTTATTCAAAGTCAAATAGACCCGAGTTCAAATATCTGCCCGGAGATCAGTTAGCCTGGTGAACGTTTTTCGTGATTTTTTCTGTCCTCCCGGGAAATTCCAAGACACTGCCTAAATTAAGCCACGACCGCTTCCTTTCATACTGTTTCCAATTCATGATTAATTAATCATCTTATTATCTTACGCGATATAAAATGAGCTACCGAATCACTGTCCGACATCATAAGCCTTTCGACACAACAATCTGGCATGCATATAAATATCAACCCTCTATAAATCTGATCGGAACTGGTTTCCAATGAAATTATTATATTGTGCCTTGTTTGAAGTTTTTTTATTTCGCGATTTATTACATTTAGGTTATATTCACAATAATCTACTTTTTGAGTCTATGAACTTCAACACTGCAACACAAAAGAGAGTTGAACACGGGAACCAACCGGTACAGACGCTCAAATAATAATTAGATGAAATAATTAATTATCAATCTATGCACATACGTAATGTTAGTTAATTTTTGACGAAGTAAATATACATATTTTTGTGTTAATACTGTAAATTTAAACTAACATATTTGTAATAACTAAAATAGCAATTATGGATAACTGAGTGTTCTGAATAGAAAATAATATTAAAATTATGAATATACTAGCTCTGAAGCGAATTCAATTCAAGAGGGATTATTAGAAAATACAAACAGCAGCCAATATCACTTTTATTGCTGTGATGTTAATGAGTCCACATGCTGCATTTAATAGCAGAATAAACAGTTCATATTTATCATACATTAAACCGCTGTAGTGAAGAGCCTGTATTATTATTTGTGATACTCATTAAGACACAACCTGCTTAAAATAAATGATCTAGTTCTACGCAACGATTAAAATATTATTTTTGTTCGTCTTTTCAGTTTACACAACAAACGGCTATCTTCTCTTCAGTGGACGGATGATCCACCCACAGCGTTCACCAACGCTACCCATTTTATAACGCTTAACCTTGAAAACTTTTATACACAAAGCACATCCAAACGTCGCCTGGCAATTCGGTGTTTGCCCCCAAGAAAGTACACGCATGCATCATTATTATAATTATAAAACCAGTCGGGGAATAACTTTAAATGGCATAAAGCGAGTACGCATTATATAACCGCCTCATCTTGTGTAAATATAACTGCAGCAGTATGAAATTTAACATGAACATTGTGTGTTGCATATTTCTAAACGAAACAAATAAACAACAAAACATAACTTAATGATCCCACACAGAATTACTTTATGCCATCTCACGGTCGGGGTCCGTAGTGGCCGCGCGGTCTGAGGCGTGGGCCTTGTACCGCTTAGTACTGGAACCGTGGGTACGGGCCGATCCCTCGTCCAAGAAGTCCTACTGAATGTCTATAGATGAAGCCAACGAAAAGTTGGGACCCGCAGTGCTCAGGCACTTGAAGAACGGGTCGTTCCCAGTATATTTCGGTCTGTAATTAATAACATATAAAAAATATATGATCCGGCGTAGCTCAGTCAGTATAGTGACTGGCTACGGACTGGGCGACCGGGATTCGATCCCCGACGGGGGCAGAGGATTTTTCTTCTAGTCTCTGCGTCCAGACCAGCTCTGGGGCCTTCCAGCCTCTTATCCAATGGGTACCGGGGGTCCTTTCTCGGGGATAAAGCACGGCCGGGGCGTGATGCTGACCACTCACCCCCATCTAGTGCCGTGGTCAAGAATGAGTAGGCACTATACCGCCTCTCCCCCCAAGCGCCTACATGGCGTATAGTGGGACAGCTTTACTTTTTATATTAAAAATACAATCATGGGGATGTTTGTAACCATTTCAAGATCCATCTCAGAATTCGTCTAGACTCACAGAGGAAATCACAAAAAATCAAAGGTAGGATAGTCAGTAGTAAAGGTGAGATTCAAACCAGGTATCTCTTTAAAAACAATTCTAGAACGTTACTGTACACCACTCAGTCTAGAACTTTCTTCATGGATAAAATATAACCACAACTGCAAAACATGTCTCCTCTCTAATCCCTAACATCCACGCATAATTAATTTGCGTCCTAATATTCGCAAAGCACTGCGTCTCTAAAGCCCATAAAAGATGACTGTGCTGTGAACCACTCTTGCGTGAAGAAACTGACATGGAGGCGACAAGTAAGGTGGAGTACACAAAGCATTTCATAAATGACTAACAAGCTCCCTATTATCCTGGTAACACCCCCAACTACAGTATTTGCAAGAAGTGACCAGCACACAGAACAAAGCAATCGGGAGATTCTCGGATGGATTACACAGCGTTAACTATAAATTATTAAGGTGCAGGGTGGAGCGCTGAAGCATGTAGCTTTGAGGTCACGTAACGGACTTAATTATGCGTCTTTTGAACCAAGTGTTCCCACTTGACGCATATGAGCGGGTCAGAGCCGCCTGTCTGCGTGTTTCACATCGCAGCAGAACTGGGGTCCGAGTTGCCTGTCTGTCCTTAAATGTTCCCTGATTCACTTACGGTCATCTATTATATCCCGATTAAGTACTCCACTGAATTTTGTTATACTTGGTATGAACATCTCAGCGAACACAAGCCAATCTTTGAAAGATTAAGCTAGCATTACTTTCTATCGCAATGTCCGTGTGTCAATCCACATGTAAGTCCTTCAACCAGAAACTGCAGAAACAACTGACAAACTTGGTACAAATATCATGCCACTAGAGGTCACGTATATTATAAACGTCTTAATTTCCTCCTGTTAATAATATCAAATTATGTTTATACGAAAAAATTCGGACAGGGATCATTGAAATGGCGTTTTTATTTTCATAGGTCTATGTTAGGATCGGTACATTAACAAT